TAAATTTGTGCAGAAGAGATTTGTGCATATTAAAGTTCTCCGAATATGTAAGAAGTTTTGTAAAGTTGAAAAGCCAAGCAGTTCCTATTAAAAGTTAAAACTTTTCTACCGTCCGAGCAGCCACGAAAAAATTGTCATCTTATTCATTAAACCAGTTTTGTTGCTTCTTAAGTTCAGTGCTATTAAGAACAGGAGAAGTTTCCAGAAGCTGTCAGCGTCTGTGTGTGTGTTAAATGCGCCTAAATTTTTTATTTTAATTGTCAGCCGCCTGTGTGCGGGGTAATACATCCAAAACAAGCTTTGTAAGCTCTTCTCTCTTTCAGGGACTGCGTTATAATTTTTTCATGTGTTTCGGAATAGATTTTGTCATTCTTAGCTAATTTAAACTTCTTTAGTTGCCTGAGAGAACGCTCGAGAGCTTCCGAAATTTATTCAATTTATATAGAACCTTGTAGATCCCTATACGGTCTTTAAAGAGACAATGTCACTGAAGATCAAACTTGAAGGTGAAATAGAGGGCAACATTGAAGGTGAAACAGACAGTAGAATTAAATGAAATAGGGGGCAAAATTGAAGGTTGAATAGAGGCCAAAGCTGATTCAAAATTACTTTAATTATTTCCTTTATTTCACCTTCAATTCTGCCCTCTATTTCACCTTCAAGATTGATCATCATTGCCTGGACGTTGCCTTAGGAGTTCCTTAAGGGCTTTTAAAAATCCGACGCTTTATGGGTTTTAGAGACGTACCTTGAAAACTATTAGCAGCTTTTATGAATCGCTAAAAGCCTTTACAAACTTTTACGGGACATTTAAAGCCTTCAAAAGTTGGGGTCCACGAGCTTCCAAGGGGCACAAAGTGTCTCTCCAAGTCTCCCAGAATCAAGGACTTGTTTTTGATATTCTAGTAGTGGTAAGAGTCGAACCTTGAAGAGCCTTTAAAAGTTTGTTCGAATTACTAGTAACCTTAGAATCCCCTACAGTCGTATGTAAATTTGTGAGTCACAGTCTTTAAGAGGTATTTTGAAGAGTAAAGTTCTTAAGGATATGATTCTTGAAAACTGCTAAGGTTTCTGAATGACTTTTACGCCTTCAAACCTTCCAACGTTTTCAAACAGCTTTTAAAAGTATTAACTGACTTTAAAAAGCCTGCAAAATCCTATAGTAGCCTTGCCATTCTTTCACGGCCTTTAAAAAAGTGAAAGAATGTTTGTGAAGTGTCCAACCAGCTTCAAACGTCTCCCGTAGACTGGGAACCTTTTTTGGGTTTTCAGAGCTTTTTTAATCCGTTGAAAGTCCTTCAGGTACTTTGGGTAGTAAAGAGATGTCCCTCGGAAAGCACTGTAAGCTTGTAAGTCTCTTCTTTCTATGAAAGAGTTCAACTTTTAGGATCGTTTGTAAGTGCTTGATAACCTTTACGAGTTTTAAGGAATCTTTAATCTAAATCTAAAAATCATTATATCTTTTGGAGTCCCTCAAAGAGGACAAGAGCGTCACAGAGTCTTCTTGAGCTTTCTAGAAGCCTTTATAAAATTATAAAAACCAAACTTTGTAGAGCCTTTAAGGGTCTGATTCAATCGTCAATAACCTTAAGGAATCTTTGAAAGCGTTGTAATACGTGTTAGTCGCCTTTAAAGGCTGGATATCCCTAAAAGTTAAGGTTTGAAATAATCCTTAAGAGCTTTTAGGGGTCGAAAAGAGCAGAGGTTTTAAAAGCCTTCTAGATTTTTGAAAAATGCTAAAGTTCCCGTTTCAGTTCACGCGATTTTTGCGAATTTTATTACATAATAATCCTTAACGTTGCCTCTTACAGGCTTTTAAGGTTTGAAAAATTTTCACCTGTTTTTAAGACACCATAAGTACTTCCAGGTTTCCTTAATGCAATTAAATGTCTTCAAAAACTTCTAAGAAACTGGAAAAGCCTTATAGAAGCTTTGAGAACCTTTAATTGATTTTTAAAGCACTTAAGTGCCCTTAAGAACCGTGCAAAACCTCATCAACTTTCAAAGTGCCTAAGAAACGTACGTTGAATGAGTCTCAATGAGGATTTAGAACTCCCAAAAGGTCTTTTTTCTCCTTTTCCCAAAAGTCACGCTCTTAACAGAGTTTGCAAGCCTTACAGAGTTGAGTACATTCATATTTTAGAGATTTTAGAGATTTTAGTTCTAGGTGTAAGAGTTAGAGTTTCCCAAGGCTTTCCAAGTGTTCAGACAAACCATGAAATCGTTTAAATCCTTTTGTGGTTTGAAAGTCTCTAGGGCTTGAGTCAGTCGCTTAAGTCTCCAAGAGACACCAAGGTATTTGTGTGTGGTTATTTGCGTGAGAGGTATTTAAAAGCCCTTAAAGTTTCTCAAGAGACCATTCTCAACGCGCTTTGTGATTACACTTGTATGAGTCGATAAAGCACATCTCATGCTTTTACGGGTTTTTAAAGTCCTTAAATGACAAACAGCCTCCAAGGGACTCCAAGCGCCTCAAAGGGTCTCCAAGAGCCTTAAACAAGCCTTTATAGTGGGTGATATTATTTCCTCCTCAGCTGAGCTTTTAGATGCCTTAGGAGACTGCAAGGCACGGTTTTTTTGCTTATAACTTTTGACTAAGGGGTCCAATTGACAAAATACGAGACGTTTTAGAATCTACGAATATAAATTACTAGGAAAAAGTGTTTTCCGGAAAATGTTTGGGGTAGTCGATTTTCGGTGAAATTGCTAAGGCTATACACTTGCCTATAATTTGGGTCGGAAAAATGAATTTGAACATTTTGGTATAGATTTGGGTCTGTAGAATCCATAACTGCCAACAGTTTGAAGATCACTAGATCAAAAGTTACAACCCCTTAAATTTTTTTTCGAAATTGGATCGTCTCAATCTGCTTTTAAGAATTTTTGTGAGGCTTTAAAAGTTTTTAATAGTCCTTAGAAGGATCTTAAAGAGTAGACGCTTTAAAGATTTTTATGAGCCTTCAAGATTTTTGACAACTAAAAAGGTTTCCGAGTCTCACCAGGTGACCTTGAGTTCACCAGACTCCTACGAACTAATATAGCATTTAAGAACCTTAAAGATCTTCAAAAATGTACCAGCGCCCCCAGTGTCTAAGAACTTTCTATAGGATTTTTAAGGGTTCAAAAGTCTTCAAGCCAGTTTGAAAAAGAATTCGGAGTATTCATTATACTTTAAAGCTTTTATGGTTTTTTTACGGACCGAATATCTATCATTAGTACTCCCATAGAGCCTTTAAAGGTCTTTAGGCAATTAAATTACAAAAGAGCGTTCATAAGTATTTTCTCTCTAAAACCCTTCAGTGGTCCTTACGAATCTGCGACACACAGTAAAAGAGAACGAAGGGCTAGTTAATATTAATGAAGTAAAATGCTTTCGGTGCGTATAGAAGGGCCATCAACAGCGCCATTGTCGAAAATTTAATTATGCCAATGAGAAACGAGATGAAAATGTGCCAGTGACCCGTTTATTAACTGAAAATTGCACCTTTTGTTTCAAGACTGGTCATTACATTGAGAATTGCTTTCCCGAAAGCCATGGGCGGCGTAATATTAATGTTATATGTTCCGAAAAAGCGGTTACACTTATAAGGATTGACAAAGAACTTTACACGGGGTTAATTGAGACTGTTGCAGATGTTTCTCCCATGTCGGATAAATTTGCAGATCGATTTTTCCTGCCTCACGATTTAATGTTGAGAGGAATTGCGGGAAACCTTTCGTCCACATACAAGTTTGAAGTCAATGTTGAAATAACGAGGATTGGGTGGAAATGCGAAAAATTGTAGACGATTTGATTTCGAACGGAATCATTATTAGTGCGAAAAAAGGTAGGGCTATACTGCATGTGTGTTGATAGATATTATCCCATTACCCAGCAGAATGGATGATCACCTCCAATTCGCAAGACCCCTTTTGTAACCCTAGACGGTCACTGCGAATACATTAGGATGCGGTTCGGTTTAGCAAACGCGCCATCGGTGTCTCAAACAGCTAGTGGGCAGAATTCCCACACCTTATGGTTTTCTCTAGTCACTAAATATAGAAAGTACCGCAATCCAATGGGCTCGTGTGTTAGAGAGAGAACGCATGATTTTTGCCCCAAAATGGCGGAAGTTACCAGATTCTAGTAACTTTAATGTTAGGGATTGTTCCACCTGATTGGAGATATCTGTATATATTTTTATAAAACATGACAGTACTATGAAGTTAGGTTATAAAAAATTACAGCTATTCAGATTTTATTTGTCAATTTTTTTAAGTTGGCAGCAAATTTGCCCAAAAATGGCGGATGATTGCGGTATTTTCTATATCTAGCGGCTTTAGTTTTCTCCATCTCTCCTACTGCTGTCAATTCTTGGTTCTCCTAGATCTTCGACTCCATGGAGTTAATCCAAACCTTGATGTATATCGTAATGTTTAATTTCTATCCTTGTGGATCTCACATTTTCCCATAATCAGGGTCTTCGAGTACTACAAGCTCTCTGAGATCTTTTTTAATGTTTAAGCACGCAACACAGATTCGTTTTCGTCAGCACTTCGGGGATTCAGATTTGGAAAGCTTCAGAGTTGTCCCACTGTTCCAGCGCGTACAGGTTCGAAGTCTGTCGTTGGGCAGTAAAACCAATTAGCGCTCGTCCTCGAATACAATTCCGTAATAACGCGTGAAAATGTTGGGAAGCACGACCACCTCGTGAGAGCAAATGAATATCAAACTGCGATTTAATGCTAAACACAAGTGCTGATGACTTTTAGCGATAAGTGTAAGGTTCCTCCAAAATACAGTGTGCTCCTCAAACGTGTCTCTAGCCGATGTCCCATTTAACAAATGCAACTGCTCAACAATTGTAGACGTTCAAATTGACCAGGTTTAAAGGCTCAAATTTGGGTACAAGCATTTTGAGAACAACCTCTAAGCAAACTAGAATTCATTCACCCTGTATTTGGCATTCGAAAATGGATCCTTGACAGCTTTTTCGTATAAATGCTGCCCACACCACGTACGGTTACTACGCCAAAAAATGCTACTCAAAGCCGTGCTAATAATTTCCGTAACAACCACCTTCGCGTTCGAATCCCAGGTAAGACATTTCTTGTTCGCAATGCCCCCTGCATGCCAAAACCGTTACAGAAATCGACCGCCGAGATTTTCGACGCGTGGAAGATCCGCATCGAGCAAGAGCACCCCGAGTGCGCGAAAACGTCGGGCGTGTCGGACGAAGAGCTCGACGGACTGTTTCGGCAGCACCGACTGTCGTCCAGCAGAAACTTCAAGTGTTACCTGCACTGCATTGAGAAGGTTTTCAATTTCGTAAACGACGACGGTAGCCTCAAGAAACAGGAAATTAGCGACGGCGTCGAGAAGGCCACCGTTGATGTGGTAGACCTGTGCGGGGCGGGAGTGGGCGATGCGACGGATATGTGCGAAAAGGCCTATACATTTCTCACCTGTCTGTTGAATTTGTACGTATAATTTATTGGAGCTGATAGTTAATACAATAGTCGGCCTCGGCCGTTAGCATGTTTTATAAATAAAATCTGTGCCCGGAAGGTTTTTTTAATATCGGCCCAAGTTGAAAACGAGCTTAGGGCCTTTAATCAAAATCAAACATTTTTGAAAGATTTTCAAAAGGGCGTTGTACAGGCTTTATAAACCCCAAATTGTGCAAGACTACTCTAAGAGCTTTCTATGAAAACTTGAGCCCTTCTTGAGTGTTCCTGTTTCTAGAGTTCTACGCCTACCTGTAGCCTTTAGGCACTTAAGCGTTATGAAGGTCTTTAATGGTCCTTATTTACTGGTTTCATTTAAAAACCCTTAAGCATCGAGAATTATTAAATTTTGAAAATCCCTGAAAGTTTTCTGTTCAGCCTTTAAAGGTCTCCATGGACCTTCACTTCCACTGATGACGCTACCCTGTGGGCGTGGAGTTGTAGGGGCCCTGGGACTGACCCCCAGGATCGTGTGGGACGGCGTGGGCGCACTGTTGCGTCTTGAATGGGGCCTTTCAAACCCAACATCATCGGACATAGCCTCGGCCGAGAGCGTCCATTTTGGGAAATAAGTAATTCTCGTAGGCGGCCCTTGCGGTCTCTTCGGCTCCTGTTTGTGCGGTGTTGTACGCGTATAGGACTGCGTCGTGGGTTTCTTTTGGAGCGACGATGCGTGACACTTGCTCGCCGTTTCCTTATAGATAACCGTCTGTGGTTACGTGCTCCCGCAGAAACTACCTCGCCTACGTTCGCCTGTGGGTTTTGGCGACGCGATTTCTTAGCTGATTGCGTTTCACCCGGTCTGTCAGGGTCGCTACTTCCACGTTCGCTATGGCAGAACGAGTTCCCTGGGGCGTTTCCTCTGGCGTTGTTACTTCCGGTCGCTAGTATTCGTTCCAGATCCGGGACTGTTCCATCAGAGGCTGTTTCAGGATTGCGAGATTAGTGATCCGCCAGTTCTGTCGTCTTTTGTCCTGTCTAGCCCTAGCAGGACTCGGCTCGTAAGGTGAAGCGCCGGTATTCAAGGCCCGGCCTGTACCGCTTGATCGGCCACTTCTGCGCGTTGACGTGGTACCTAGATTGCGCAGGAGTCAGTTTCGCAATAATGTAACTGCTAAAGAGAGAGGATTCTATATCCGGTCCGTGCAGATCATAGCTGAAGGGAGATCTAATTTCATTCGGGTTGAAAGCCATGACAAGGGCGCATCTAGTACTCCTGGTGCACAAACAATTATGGTATTATGAACAATTGTTCTATCACGCTATTACCGACGTTGTATTAGCATTCGTTGTTGTTAACCTTGTTGTATCGATTTCCGTCTTCACCAAATCCACGCCTTTAAACCTTAGAAATGTCGAAATCTCAAACTCTGACGCCACGAAACCTTCAAACCTTAAAACTTTGATAGCCTGAAACTCTGAAATCCTCATGTTGTGGTAATTTGAAACAACCTTGTAACATTGGAGGGCTTACGCGTTGGATACTTAAATTTTCTAAGAACTTTGGGCGAACATTTCGAGTTTTGTATGCGTTCAGATTCTTTCAAGTGTGACTAATAGTGGCGAGAAATTTGGTTAAAGGAACCCATTGTATTTGAAGAAATCTTTCCCATGGTCTATTTTTGATGCTTGAATTAATCAGTATTTGTGATACGGATCAAACCACTCACATGAATATGTTTACGTGGCGGCAATTGAATGAGTTCTTTGTATTAATAAACTCAAAGAATTAAATCTTCCTTATGTTGAATTATACAGGAACTTCGTGGGAAATGTCGTTACTTTTATATGGGCAGCTACGCCGCCTCACCTCGCGCACCCGGCGAACTTCTTACTCCTATCAGTAAATTTCTGTGAATGGTACGTGCGCTCGGTTTCGGTGACTGCGTCCCCCGACGTTCTAATTAAACCAATTTTTCTAGGCCTAACGTTAAATATTTGTAATTGAAGTTAGGTTTACCCAAATATGCGAGCAGCTAACGTAAATTATATTAAATTTAGCCCAAAGGATTAATAACTTCCTTCCGCGTGTCTATTTCTGCTCTTTTATATTTCATGAACTTTCATTGGAGTATTTCAGAGAAATTTGTTTTGATTTAAGGGTAGTTGCTTACTGCAGCTATCAGTGAGGCCAGAATTGCGCTTCAAAATTTGATTCTGTAGACCGCAGGTCATTTCATACCCGAAGACCAGTTCGCGTTTCCGTGGTCAATCGGCCCTGAGTACTGTCACTTTTCCATGCGTTCGAAGTAGCGGGAAGTTTAGGGCTCAGTTCACGAAAAAAATATACCTAAAAATCCAATAAAATCTGGTCCAAGAAATGGAGGGTCAGTAATGTTATCGCGGGCGGTTTAGCTGTAGAGGTGGTGCAAGTAGAGCATCCACCCAATCAAATGTCAGAAAACTCGGAACCGTTGTCTAAGAGGTTTCCGGGATTCTTCGTTTGGCAGTTACGCTAAGCGCGTCCCCTTGAGTACAATACAAGAGTTACAGAAAAAAAAAACACGTGCAAATGTTGGGAAGTCAGACTACCTCGTGAGAGCAAATGAATATCAAACTACAATTTGATGCTAAACACAAGTGCTGATGATTCTTAGCTTAGATCTAGTTTAGATAAGTGTAATGTTTCTCGAAATACAGTGCGCTCCACAAACGTACTCCTAGCCAATGTCACATTTGGCAAATGCAACTGCTGAACAATTGAAGATGTTCAAATGGATCAGCTTAATTGGCTTAAATTGTGTCACTTTGTGTTCAAGTAGTCGGAGAACAATCTCTAAGCAAACAAGAATTCATATCACCCTGTATTTGGCATAAGAAAATAGATCCTTGACAGCTTTTTCTTATAAATACTAACCGCACCACGGCCGCTTACTGAGCCCAAAAATGATACTCAAAGCCGTGCTAATAATTTCCGTATCAACCACCTTCGCGTTCGACTCCCAGGTAAGACATTTCTTGTTCGCAATGCACCCTAGATGTCGAAACCGTTGCAGAAATCGACCACCGAGATTTTCGACGCGTGGAAGATCCGCATCGACCAAGAGCACCCCGAGTGCGCGAAAACGTCGGGCGTGTCGGACGAGGAGCTTGACGGACTGTTTCGGCGGCAACGACTGTCGTCCAGCAGAAACTTCAAATGTTATCTGCGCTGCATACACAAGGTTTTCAATTTCGTAAACGACGACGGTAGCTTGAGAAAACAAGACATTAGCGACGGCGTGGAGAAGGTCAGCGTAGATGTATTAGACTTCTGCATGACAGGGGTGGGCGAAGATATGGATGAGTGTGAAAAGTCTTATACACTTGTCGCCTGTATGCTCAGAAATATTTTTTCCTATAATTTGTTGTAGCGGATAGTTACTCCAATAGTCGACTGTTAGCATGTTTTATAAATAAACCCTGTGCCCATGAGGTTTTCTATAATCATTCACACTAAGTTGAAAATTGAGCTCCCAAGGTCTATTTTTGTTGTTTGAATTAATCAGCGTTTGTATCACATATCAAACAATTCACACGAACATGTCTATTTAACGTCTCGTGAACTTCGTATTCCCGTAATTTGGTTATAATGCAATTAACAGTCAATGAAACTCGATCTTAAAGTTAGTAGTTATTGCCAGGCATTCGTTAAGTTCAAATTCATCATAGTACTTCAAGGCATTTTTTTTCATTTAACATTCATTAACTTGGTTTAACACATTAATAATTTTCACGTAGCCTTTACGATTCATGAATCTTGCGTGTGGTCTAATTGCAACGAGGACTGGCTAACGTTAATTATTTGTAATTGGAATTAATTTTGCTCCAATATATGCGAGCAGCTAACGTAAATTCTTTTAACGTAGCGGAAAGGAATAATTATTTTTTTTGTTTGCCTCTTTGCACTTTAAAGAGAAATTTGTGTCTGTTGTAAGTGCAGGCCATGGCCAATCGGCCGTGAGTATTTCCATTTCGCCGTTCGTTTGTAGTAGACCGAGAGTTAAAGGCTCAGTTGATGAAAAAGAAGTGGTATACCCCTCCACATCCTACTTCACACTTACTTAAAATTAAGAATGGAATACAAAGTTAATAAAATCTGGCCCACAAGATAGAGAGTTGGTGATGTCGTCGCGGGCGGTGCGAGCCCTGACAGCGGGTTTAGTTATGGAGCTGGTTCCAGTTCCACCTAAACCAGTGTCAGAAAACTCGGAACAATGTCTAGGTTCGTTTGGCCAAACAAAGAGCAAATGTTTGGAACAAGACACGGTTTCAGGCACCCTGGTGTTTTGCTCTCACAATAATTTAGAGACGCGTAACATTCGTTTGTATTGTCTATCGAACTGCCTTTGCTTATAAGCAAATGCTCGGCTTTAACCAGAACATAATAAAATTTTTAGGTCCCAAGAGATCGTGGCAGACGTCCAACACGTTTACTGTTATCGCTTGTTATCGACATACTTTAGTTCACGTTTACTATGAAGCGGTATATGCTTATCTAATCTCACACACACAAACACACCCTCCCACACAATACGGGTTTTGTTTCATTTAATTAAATAAAGTTGTTCTTGATTGACTAGTTAATTAAATAAATAAACAAATAAGTAAATAAATAAATAAATAAATAAATAAATATATAAATGCAAATTAACGTATTGGCAGCTATATTTTGACTTAACGAGCTGTATAATGATACTTTAAATATGAAGGAAAACGAAATTCATGCTATCAACATTAGCAACGCTCATTGACCCGATGGGCGGATACACTAGAAAATAAGGTATATTTATACAACTCAAAGGATTGAAGCACTAACAGCATAACTGTCACGGGAGACTAAAAGAGGTCGATTTTTTAAAAATTATTTAGGGTAACGCTGTTTTTAGAGATAAACATGATAAGACCTCAATGTGTTTCCAGTATCGGATTTGGTCAACCCAACGTTTTGTAAATCTAGGTCCTTAAGTTCTTGGTAAACTTGGCTGCCCATAGTTTGTCGTTGAACTCTATATATACGTCTTGACCTGTATATTAGCTGGAGAAGTTGTGGCGCCAGTCAGTCGGACGTTGGAGCCTAGGACCGTAAATTCCGATGCAAAAAATACGCCGAATGATTTCACCAGAAACCGAATAAGATTAATTCATGAATAGAAATGGCCGATTTCGTTAATAAGGCACCTTTTCGGGTCGTCAATTAATTAGAAAAGATATGAAGGGAATCACCCCGAGGAGATTTTTGAAGGCATTCGGTTTTGTGTTACGGGAGCGTCAACCGTACGGCACAAAATAAATTTGAAAAATTCTTCGCTTAGCTACCAGTTTCAATAATTGTGTTACATACTTGAGTCTTGAAATATTCCCCAGCGATTTGTACCGATTGTGTCTAGTTGTGATAGTGTATAAGGTTCGGTTCGGAGACCTGAATTTAATTTTCCGCATGTAAGTTCAAATTTAGAGGAACTCGTCATTTTAGTAATAAAGGACACAAAAAAGCCATCTGTGTCCAAAAAACGTCATACAAGCAGCTCATTGGACGATAATTGAGTATTGAATACAGCAGAAATGAAAAACGTAAATCTTTCCCTCTAAATAATCTTAGGGTCGATAGTGCACCCCACCATGGTAATGAATTGGCGATTCAAAAGGACAAAAGAAATGATTCACGTACATCCATTATATCGTGTTGCATATGTTGATAAGGACACGCGCGGGGCGAATATATTACGTCCACATTCCGCTGTAACGGTGGAAACAAGGGCGAACGCCGGGAAAATAAATCGTCGAGAAATCCACCCTCGACCCCATAAACACCAGGAAGGCGTCTAATCACGCATCGTGCCTCCACCACCCCCTGCATTGCATTTGTATTACAATTCGCTCGTCGAGAGAATGACGCGCGACCCCTAAATCTTTCTGTTATTCGACGCTACAGCCCCCGAGAGACGTTAAAAGAAAAAAATGCAATTTCCAAGTAATAAATTTCGAGATTGTATTGGCGTTTGATAAAAAATTCAGTATTCGATCACAAGGGCTTCAGTAGGTTATACGATACCACCATCCCAAAAGTTTACCCAGTTTATTGTGCGCGATGGCAAAAAGACGTCCGCGTCGTTTTCGAATTGTTATCGTTTATTCCATCGCCTTATATCAATTTTTCGCTTAAAACATTCCGTAAACATAAACTTTGTAAATAAAAGGGGGAGAGAACGAAAAGGAGAGGGTCTCGGAATTATGAGTAACAGGCATAAATGCCGATAACAAGCTTTCAGAATTTAGACACGTCACCGGGAATGGGAAACGTTACAGTTAGGAAGAAATGGAAATGATTTCCGAATTTCAAATATTTACATTTATTTCGGATTGCCGTGCACGTTGCATACAATCAACGAAAATTAGAAATTCTGAATTTATATTAACCTAATTACGCTAAATTGGTATTTGTAATTATTCAAATGGAGAGAAACGAGATGCCTAGTTTATGTTACGCGTACAAAAATTTGCATCATCCAATTTGGGGCTACAATGTAATTATCTATAATATGGGATCAGCTGACTTTTCGGAGACGATATTCGGCTGCTTTCCACAATTTGGGGGCCAAAAATGTTTGGCAGGATGATTTCAGCTAATTATTCAGCTCTGGGTAGAGATACAGATGCCTCTCTTGTACTCCCTGCATCTTCATTTATAATTCAAGTCCTGCAATCACAATAATTTGGAGGTGCTGTATTGGTATGGGTTCAGTAAAGGACTTGTGATTCATTTTAGTCAATTTATGAAGCCTAATAATAAGACTTTGGATGTCCATCTGCTTCAAATCTTGTTCTGCATTCGTGGGGAAAGGGAAGTAATACAAACTGAAAACGTGAAATTGTTGAATGCAAATTGGAAAAGGAGTAAGAAAGTAAGTGAGTACATATCCGAGAAGGTTTTCCTTCCTTGTAATCAACGAAGTCCCTAGAGCTATTCTCGTGTGATCAAGAGAGGGCAGCCCTGAATTGAATTTGGATTTGACCGTTTCTTTTTGTTAATGTTTTAATTAAATTTCAGTCTCCCCATTTCTTACGTTTTATTGATGTTGGCCGATCCTTGGAAAGGGAACAGAACTAATATTATATTCGAAAAAATAGGTCGCGTGAAGAAAAGAAACGGGATACGAGTCGAAACGCTACGGGAACGGGGAATAACGGCGATGTCATTGCTGTACCTTCGCATGTTGGGGTCGTTTCGTATTTGGGATTTGGCCAGTACTTAAGTAAAAATCGGGTGGGAGATAGAGACTCTTAGTCCAACTTTGGAAGAGAATCGATGAAAGTCGAGCCCTGCAATTTTCGATCGCGTATTTAATTCTCAGCCAGACCTTCGGGGCAAACCTAGGTAACGTACGCGTGGAAATTTATAGAATATAGATCGGGTAATATTGTAAGTCGTGTACCCTATTTTTCAGATCGCGTAAAATTTCATTATTGATTAAAAGTTCAAACCAAAAGCCGTATAACCACAATAAAAGAATATTTCTTTAATACCTACGTAAATATTTGTGGGTCATTGCACGATCGAGTGAAAGCGCTCGTATTTAAATTAATTGTAACCACGAAGGCGCTGAGGTCCAAGGTGCAAAACATTTCATTGTGCTACATTTGGAATGGATAGTTACGTTAAAAGCAAGTTTATCAATCAAATCTTCGACCTATATTCTCTAACGGGATGTTTTTAGATTAACGATTACCGGTAAAAACGACAATTAATTCGTGCTTCTGTTAGCTGGCAGAACATTAAGTTGTAAGGGTAATTTCGGAGCTAAATTACATCAATTTTTAAATCAGAAAACTGGAGTTGGAACGGTATTATTGTCAAAAATTTGTTTGCAGCTGTTCTTCTTTCCATTTGAATTTTAAAAAAACCAAAGGGCGGAGGGCTATATGTAACTCCCCTCACTTTACTGGGTTCTTGGACCTCACGCCTACTTGAAAATCATTTGTTCCTCGGTTTGGTCACCTTTCTAGGCGGTATGAGATCTTACGGACTTCCTCAATTTAATGGTTTCCTTAATTAGGCTGAATATCGTGTGCAATGGGAAAAGTGCGACGGGAAGGGTGCAGGGGACAGCGAGAAGAGTGCATCGAGAAGTGTGCAGGGTTAAGAACAAGGGGAACAATTCAGGAGGGCAGAGGGCACAGTGTAGAGGAAACAGTTCAGCGGGAAGAGGGCAGGGGGCAGAGTCCAGGGGAAGAGTGCAGGGGGCAGGGTGAATAGTGCAGGGGAAGAGTCCACGGGCGCAGAGTGCAGGGGGAATAACGAAGAGAGAACAATGCAGAGAGAACAGTTCAGCGAGACGGGTGCAGGGGTAACAGTGCAGGCGGAAGATTGCAG